GATATATTCGGTTATAGTATATGGGAATTCCCCAGCTTTTCAGATTTATTTATGATTTAGCTTCCGCATCAGTTTATTATCTTTAGTATGCTCATGATCATGTCAGCAGGGTTAGCTTGGGATCACTTGTGGTCCTAGGTCCCGTGTCCGCGTCTTGGGGGCAGCTTGGGGCGTGACAATTTGTGCATGAGAAGATTGATTTTTTTTAGATATAAATTATTATTTTCAGCATAATTTACATGCTCGAATGATACTGTAGACACATAAATATTATTGGATTAAATTCATACGAAATTTGGATTAAATCCATGTTCATTTTGGGTTGAATGATTAATTTGGGCTTTAAAAGACAAACCAGTCCATTCCACCTTGAAGCTCAAGCCCATGTCACGTGTCACAGTGACTAGGTATCCCAGGCCAACAAAGTGACGCCATGTGTCCAAATGATGTGGTAGTCTCAATCAAATTTAAGAACCAATCACAATCCGTCAGGTGTCAAAATGACATCTTTTGGCCAATCATAAGCAACTTTATCTGCCCCCTACAACTGTAAATAGGGGATAGATATGACATTCAATGACATTCTGAAAACTCTTCAACAAGCATTCTGCAAGGATTGGAGAATGCTACAACATCAACTACAAAGTTGTTCGAATGAGTGGTCAACGGAGTTCTTCGTGGAGATCGACTTGAAATGATGAAGTGCTTTCCGACGTTTTTGGAGATCAAACACATCTCAAAGAGGTCTACATCATCCAACAATTCGAGAAGGACGCTACTGAAGGCCCTCGAATCTCGAAGAAGTTTAGGATGGAAGAAACACGAGAGTAATTATATTTCTCCATGATTCGAGGGTTGTCAGTAGTGTATTTCTCGAATGTAGGATAATGCAGACCTCCTTGAGATATGTTTGATCTCTGAGAACGTTGAAAAACACTTTGTCGTTTCAAGTCGCTCTCCGGGAAGAACTCTGTAGTTTATGTTGTGGCTTTCTCCAATGCATGTTGAATATTTGTTAGGGTATTTGCAAAATCCTTGTTGAAGTGTTTTTCCAGATCCCTTGAATGTCATGTCTATCCCCCTATTTATAGTTGTAGAGAGTGGGCAAGGATTGCTTATGATTAGCCAAAAAATGTTATTTTGACACTTGGCGGATTGTGATTAGTTCTTGAATTTGATTGGGACTACCACATCATTTGGACATGTGGCTTCACCTTGTTGGTCTTGGATGCCTAGTTACTGTGACACGTGGCATGAGTTTGGGCTTTAAGGTGGAATGGACCTTGGACTTGAGCTTAATAAAAATGAACTTATTTATTTTTAACGCCCAACTTAATTATTCAACCCGAATGAACATGGATTTAATCTAAAGTTCCTATGAATTTAATTCAATAAAGTTTATGCGTCTACAAATGTCCCTTTGCTTCGAGACTTGTCGATGTGTAGGCTTGCCGAAATTTGAAGACAAGACTTGAAATATTCATAAATGTATTTTCATTTTTTTGAGACTTATCGAGGCTTGCCGAACTTGACAACGAGACTTAAAGTATTTATGAATGTGTTTTTTTTGTTAGACTTGTCGACGTGTAGGTTTGCCAAACTTAAGAACGAGACTTGAAATATTTGTGAATGTGTTTCATTTTGATACTTCAAAAGTACTTGTTCCTTATCGCTGCATTCTAGCTAGTCCACTTCTTGAGAGTAGTTTACCATTAAAATTCTTCTGTACATTTTCACTGGGTGAAAGTACTTCATCAAGGTGACGAATTAAATGATTTCTTGTAGTGATCCTGAATAGTAGTATTTTATTAATTGTTATTTATCTCATCGATCCTCATTTGAAATAATGATTTTCATATTTTCAAATTCTTATGAATTTGTTTAGTATATAATATATAGGTATAATTTGATGAGATGTATATTTCTTTTCATATGAAAGTTATTATTTATTGATAGAGTTTTACTATATTATTTATCTATTTTTTATTCCCTTTCTGATTAATATTACTTATGTCAATGTGCTGCTTCCTGTAACATGTATGTTCTAGTAATTAAGTGTACTTGTTCTGATATCTATAACTACTTGAATCCAAACATGTCGCCTTTTGATTTAGATATATGAAAAAAATACTATCTCCTAACATATAGTTAGTGCGAAAGTAAAAGGAATTAAGATGTCGAATTATAAATTTTTAACTATGTCGATGCGTCCTCTGGAGTATCACTTACTTATCCGTAATTATGTTTATATCTTTGTATTTAAATCTTTTAATTATCCTTTGAATACTATTATTATTTTCTAAGACCGACCTCAAATAAAAATGTTTATATGGTGGAGAAGTGTGATTAATAAGATCGTGCTATCATTTCTA